TTTTTTTTTTTTTTTTTTTTTTGAAGTCTCATCTTTAGGAACTGAAAACTGGAAAGCAACTTGTTGAAATAAACACGAGGAGGGACAAAGAATGGACAAGACCTTTGGTGGTATCAGTTATCACAGCTTCAATAATACCTCAGAGGCTTTACCCTTCTTTCTAATGGACTGACTGCCCAGTGCCCACAACAACAGATCCCCTTGGTGTTTTAGATGTCATCCATTGCAATTCCAGGGTTAGCAAACCCACCTTTGCAAGGACACCACGGGCTGCTTTGAATTACCACAAAACTGCAGCTGGTGATGGTTTAGCACATAATTTGAAAGGTACTGCTGCCAAATTGAGAGCTCCAAACCAGTGGAGTCAGCCCTGCTGAATCACTTCTTGCCAAGGCCAGGATCTCCCAGGAAGTTTCTCATGACAGACAAGTGAGCTTGTTCTATGACACTAGACATGATTAAATGTCAACCAGAGTAGTTATACTGGAGCAGTAAAGCCTTTCTGCTATGAAGAAGCTGTAGAAGTGCATTCTTGTGCCCATTCAGGGCTCCTTTATGATTTCAGTGTTGCTCTGTTATCACAGATAACCAGAAATTAGGAGCACACCAAGATGCACATCTGAGTCCTCACATGTTCCAAACTGATGAAGTCTCAAGGACAACTGAAGTGACAGAGAAAGAGAAGTCCTAACACAGAGTATGATCTAGACCCTGAACATATGTTTTTCTCTGTATATGGTCTACTAACAGCAAAGTTTGCACGTACTTGTGAAACGATACTTAACATTGCTTTCCTGTTCTAAAGTCAATGATGAGGGTGAATAAACAAGGTACTTTACCTGCTGCTTTCATTTCATGTTTACTTACTAACAAATCTGAGAACATGAAATACTGTAGAAGCATTAGAAACAATCACTTAAGCAGCAATGCATTTAATTTTTTATGCACTAAAGTTTTTGATATTTGCATAAGACTTTTGACTTTCTAAAGCCACTCTAAATCAAAAATCACATTATTAAGCCCTCTAAAAATTTATCACAAGTCAGTTTACAGATGACATTGATGTCTTATTGCTATCCATTCCTCCTGGACCATTTCTAACCATTCATTTTTTATATTCCTGCAGTGCTGAAATATGGTTCACACCAGTATCTGTCCTTTTAGTAATCACCAAAGCAAAGCTTGGCAGTTGTCATATATTGCACTCTTGAGAAAAATGCTAGTAATACTCTGAATTGATTGAACAGCATGGAATCAGAGCTAGCTGGCAGAGAAACCATTTAACTGATTTCAATTCATAAATCTCTTTTCCCCTACCCTGTTTTAGTTTAGAAGCTGCTAAATGTTGCCATTATCTTGTGATGCACAGAATGAACCAATTATTTATAAAGATATTAATTTAAATAATACGTGATTGCATTCATTAATGTTCCATGTGAGCAGGCAGATGTATGGATCTTGCTGAGTAGCTTCCATTTATGCACAGTGAGCTATAGAATGTCTGTAACAGTCCTTGGCCAGCAGATATCGATTTATTTATTTCCCCAGAGGTCAACATCAGGTACAATGGCCTTCCTTGTCTGAAAAATAAAGTGATTTTAAGTGAGTTTTACCTGCTTTAGGCCACAATTTAAGTCCTTGAGTGTGACCTAAAATGATTAGTAAGACACAGTGTCCCTGATGTGACAAGGTTTAATTAATTGGTAGGGATGCACTTAGTGTCTAAAGCAAAAGCCGTTTTTAGGAAGAAAAAAAAAATAGTATGGCTGGGAACTGCAGTTTAGTTTCAAACAATCATGGAAATAGGGCTTTGAAATTAAGTCCATGGAGAACCAGGAGATCAAAGGCAAATGGACAAATTTTGGGGGACCAAAGGCAGAGTTCTTGCACTGGTGAATGGAAGAAGGAATCCCAGCAGAGGATTCACTCAGTGGGAAGTGAAAGGGTTTGTTCATCCACCACAATCATCCATGACAGGTTGGAAATCCCTGGAGACTGAAACCCACAGTGCTTTCTGCCTAAATGCCACCAGACACCACACTGGAAGTTATTCTGTTGTGCTGTTGCTGATTGCTTTGGTCCTTATGTGAATCCAGAGCAAAAAGGCAGAGAAAGTAAAACGATGTTATTGTTTGTGACAGAGTGAAGGAGTGTGATTTGCAAATTAATAAGGGTTTGCATTGTTTATTAAAAAGGGCTGTTTATCTGAAAGGGGCTGCATGCTAAATTCACTAAAATGGATAATCAAGAGACAAAGCTGGGCCTGAGAGAGAACTGAAACCTGGGGAGTTTCCTCAAAAGCACCATTTCTTCTGGGGAATTTATCTGCATGTAAACTCATTAAGTATCTTGTGCTGAGATTCTGGATCTTGAAATCCAATTATCTCTATCAATGATGCTCAGCCTTCAGGACCTGAAGAGCCACCTTCTCAGGAAATGGAGAATCACACACACAAAATAACACAGCATAATTCAGAATAACATCTGATGGTGCTTGAGTTGTAAATCGTGTGACCTGATACTGCCCTGCAGTTGTTGGACAGCATGTAAAGCAATATATGACTGCTCACTGAAACTTTACTGCTAAAAATTGGATCAAAGTGAAATAAACACTTGGCAAATTGCATTGCCATCCCTTTTGCTCCTGAATGGAATGGGGTAAATTTTCTTCTAAGCCTCAGAGCAGAAGTAACTATGAAGACACCTGATGTGTAACAGGCCACAGACTGTGCCTTTTTCCCCTTGTAGGCTGTGGGGTAAGAAAACAGTGATGTTCTTCAAATTCTCCTGTCAGACCATTCCTTTGCTTTAGGAAAAAGAAAAATATTATCATATTTCCAAGGGGTCTAAAAAATTGTAGGGAAGTCTCAATCTGGTTTATTATAAGGCTTCCATTACTAACACTGAAATAAAATAAACTGTCCAAAGGAACAGACTAGAAAGGTATAAAGTGGAAACTTTAGGCAGAAATTTTGTAATGGAACGGCTTGGAACATTTTTGGTCTGCCAAGGTGGAAAGTGAGAATTAAACAGGTAACTGGTTTATAGAAATTACTAAAAAGGTAACTGGTTCACAGAACTTTACTTAAGCAATGCTCTTCACTGCCCAAAAACAAAGCCAAGGGAAATCAGTGGTAGGGAATGAAAGAGGTAAGAGGAATTATTACGTCTGTGATCACATCACCCAGGTACTATTTGAATTTCTATAGATTGGTCTTGGATTCTGTTCCTGTGGGTGAACCACTTCTGCTCCTTCTTAAGTTAATTTCAAAAGTGAAGCACACAAAGTAGAAATGCTGTTTTCAAAACTAAGTAAATATTTTTCAAACTCAGATAAAGCTGATTTCTAATTTCATATTAAAAAAAATCTGTTAAAAATTTGAAGTTACTGTTCCAAGAACAACTGCACTGAACATTTCCTTCCATCTAACTCTCCCTTACAGCTTGACTCTCCTCCCAGCACCCCTTCCAAAAGAGGTTTATAATTTTGACTGTGTGCATCTAGCTGTCTCTCTTGTTCACTGTGCATGTAAGCTAGCTTATTATAACTCTGATTTGAAACCACATCAAATCCCTTTTTTATTTATTCACCATTTTTCTTAGGATCAGTTCCATAAAATCCTTTCATGTACAGCATAATCACAGTTAAGTCTTGCCTAAGAAATTCCTTGGCTGCTGCAGCAATTGGTTCAGAGAGCGCTGAAAGCTGAAGTGCTTCAGCCCATCTGAAACACACCTCTATTTTTAACACACAAAAAACATTCCCCAAGAAGTGAACACAAATATACTACCTGCCAAATCAAACCCTCACTGAAGCCTTAACCACGAGCAAAGAATTTTCAGTAAGGCATGGAAATTGCAGCCTTTTCCTCAAAGGAGAATTTGGATTCAAATGTTTTAGAAACCTCTCTAAGACAAACCACAACCAGCATAAATCCTGTTCCTGTGACATGGTAGAAGGGCATCACTGCAGGATAATATTTGTGAGCATGGTAAGAACACCTCATTACCGATGTAGCATCTCCCAGCTTGTCAGTGCCTCCGAAATTTTATCAATAATCAGACATTTGCCTCACTCTGAGCCAGTACAAAAACCCAGCTGAATTCTTAGAATTGCTAAGGACATCGAATATTCTGAATCTCCGGGGTTCGACTCACTGACAGCTTCCATGTCCTTGACTTTCTCTTTTTGTCATTCTGTAACTTATAACTAATGGGAAATATGCAAGCCTTTACACAAACAGCAGAGTCAATAAAACTCCTTTTTTTTTTATATCAAAATTAAAAACCTCAACATATTTCTGTTTATAAAGCAAAATGTATATATTACCCTGAAATCTGGGCCATAGTTGGAAGCATTACTGTCCTTCAGTAATAACAATAGCACCTTTTCATCATTTCTGTGATAAAGCTTTACATCAATTCTGATGTATTTGCACATGTACCACCAGAACCTCCATGGGATGTACAGAGCAAATTCCTAAAATCTCTGCTGTTTCCAGCAGATATCTCATTTGTCATGACAACAAGCGAAGGCAGATAAATCATTTTCGAATAACCTTTTGTTAGAGTCTCTGCTTGCTCTGATATTGTAAGTTACAGAGCCTTTTCATCTGCATTGTTCTGTGCTACAGATTGAATAAGAGACAACTGCCTGCATGGAATAAGCAATAACAACTTTAAAATACCCTTTTAAGCACCCCCCACAATAAGGGAAGCAATGCAAAAACATTAGAAACTAATGAGTATTTCCAAGACCACTAACAGGTTCAAGATGTTTTATTTATAAAATAATTTCAGAATTGAAGTATCAACCCTTCAGTTGGATAAACAGAATTGATAATTTAGTTATTTGAGGAGTGTCCTTAAAACGCACTACATTGTTATTCTCTCTTGAAGCTGACAGATGAAAGTAAATGCTTTAGAAATATAAAATATAGGAGACGTTTTTTAAGTCTACTATCTTCCTTTATTTTGTCTACCAGAACATGAACACCTACCTTTCTTCCCCCTGTGTTTAGGCGAAGTGGAGTTAGGAAGGGATCAAAAATCATATGGCTGGTTTCAATATTGACAGGTGACTGTCTTTTCCCAACAGAGCAAAGATTCCAAGCTGAGTTCACCAAACCCCAAAAGGAGGGCACTGCAAAACAGAAGAAAAGTGCAAGTTTAAGGAAAGTTTGGAAAGGCTGGAGCAACATCTTCAGGGCAGATGGCCAGGTAATTAAACTGTCAGACTGTCTGCACACACACGGTGAAACCGAAAATAGGCAAACTCATCGAGCACTTGAATTCAAAACTTCATACATAAAGGCTAAAATATGTTGTTTCATATAGTTTTTTATTAGGAAAGATGCATGAGTTGTTTGTGTTTTTTTCCTTTTTTTGAAGTAATCTCAGATTCAATAACAAACAGCTCCTTTGGTACTATAGAATATTTACTGAGCAATAGGAATGTGACTCACTAGTCCTTATTCTAACTTTGCATATATTCATCGTGTCCTTGGACTGAAACTGTCCCATTCTACTCAGCTTTTTAAAAAGCCTTCACGTTAGGAAAAATTAATTACAAACCACAGAAATGTTGTCAAATCACACACAGTAATCCCAGAGAACAGAACAGGCTTGGACCATATAGGGATCCCCGACTGTGGACTGGTGGGGCCCTGGGCAGGAGCACAGGTGCTTTTCCCGGTGGGTGGAGCTGCAAACAACCCATCAGTGGGCTATAAAAGGCTTTTTGGTTGCTGTAGTCAATTGTGTTCAGGGCTTTGCAGTGAGACTGATTGCTCCTGCTCGCAGTTTTTGGGTACTCCAGTGGGATTCACGTGGAGTTTTGGCTGGATTTGAACCTCACGTGGAAAATATCTTCAAAGTATTGTGGCCTCAGGAAAACGGGTGATCCGAGTGAGTGTTTTCCTAATGTGTTTCATAGACCTCAGTTCTTTTCTGCCCTCTAAGTTTGAGTGTATGTAGGTGTAAAACTTTAGTTGGGTTAATCTGTAGCTTTGTGTAACTCTTCTACAAAACTAGATAAATTTTCTGGGAGGTTCTTTGGCTGTTGCTTGCACAGCACAACTTCAGCGTGAGTGTCTATGCAGGAGTGATGGAAAGTGTTTTGCAGCTGTTCAGTATTTGCTTACTCCAGTAGTTCATGTGCTATTGTCCCCAGATGTTACTTTTAGTACAAAACACCCAAAACCTCAATTTTCAGCTGAAACTTTGTCTTTCTTTGTGCCAGTCTGTCCGTGCAGCTACAGGTGCTCCACATGCAGGTGAACTCAATTAGTCAACACCGAAATGGTGCAGCCAGCCAAGTTTAAGGTTTCCTTGCATACAAATTGGAAGTGACTGCGTGCTGCTAAAACCTTAAATTCGTTGGTGACATACCTTTTCTTAACACCTGAAACAGACACTCAAATCAGAATGTCTTAGGATGTACTGCATGAAATCTCCACGGAGGGATGGGTGCTGTAATGCTCTACAGCCATGGGAAAGCAATGATCAGGGAACAGCACCCTGAAATGCCCAGACTTGCAGATGCCCACATCAAATTATGTCAGTAATTTTTTTATTTCAATAATAAACTCCGTGTGAAACCATCCCAAAGAAGGTCAGGTGGAAGGCCTCTAAAATAAGTGAAGCTTTCTGTGACCAGAAAAGTGAATTGGCAGTGAATGGTCTTAAAAATTTATCTGGCTCCTCTGTTTACCCTCCTGGTCAAGTCCCAGTTCCAGTGCTGACTTACACGACTGTGGAAGTTCACAGAGTATACCAAATGACAGGGCTAATGCTTTGAAATGAATAAAATACATGTAGTGCAATTAAAACCAAATCAGCACACACTTAATTATTTGTGGTGGTTTATTTTTGTGTGTTTTTTTTTGAAGGGAAATACCATAGGGGCTCGCTTCTGCTTTTGTCAGAGAGAAAATCCCTCTTTATACAGAGACCTAAAATAAAAGTTTAGGTTAATTGAGAGAGCCTGGTTTCCCTTGATAAACTCCCCTGTGGTATTATCTGTGTTGTTATTTAAAAAAATGAATTAATGATGAAACTGTAGGGCTGTGGGATCAAGAGGGAAAACATTAAAAGGGAAGTCTGTTGCTTCAATGGTTTATGGTATTACTAAAAAAAAAAAAAAATAATCTGGTCAGAAATACCATCGGTATTGGTAAGAAACAAGTTTTTAGCAAACTTTTAAAAAATAAATAAACAAACCAGACCTGGTAAGTGCAATAAAATGGCAAACCAAACGGGCCAGTCCATTACCTTCAAGTTGATAGTAGTTAAACAATTTATGATGCAACCGGGGTTGACCCAGAAAAGCCTCACTGGAAAATATCTGCTATGAGGGGATGTTTTATAATGTTATTTCTGGTTTTGACAGGGAACTTGCCCTCTGTGCTGTGCCTGCCACACCAGCCTGCCCCCAGGAACTCGAGGACGCCGAGCAAAGGGCAGGGTTGTCACCAGACCGGTAAGTCTGCACCACAATCTTTGCTTCCTTTCCAAAAATGCCTTGGACACTCGTGCTTCCCAACCTCTCCAACATGTGCCTGTTGCTGTTTTTTTTTTTCTTTTGTTTGTGTGCACAAAAAGTGCAGCCATGGTAAACTTACCCCAGTGAGCAGAATGACTTTGCTTGTGCTTCAACCCAAGGTTAATTAAGGATGACTGGCCTAAGACTGCACACCTAAGTTAACTAGTGGATGGGGATATTAAGCGATATTAATGTCTGATTACATTTAATTAAAGTAATTAGTGCTGCTGCTTAGATGCTCAAAAGCAATCTGAAAGTATTAAGAACTGTAATAGAAAAATCTAAGGAGGTTCATGTAGGAAACCAAGGTTTGTATTAAGCTCAAGTACTGAATTAACTGTTTAGTCTAAAGAAATCAGTCCATGAGTCTAGGAAAACATATAAAAATATTAATTATTTTTTATTCTATCCTAACTAGCAGATAAGGTTCTACTAGGGATTAAATCATTAATGAAACAGTATCTCCTTCCCCACAATTATGTTGTATTTCCATAGAAATCTAATCATGAATGGAATATGAATCGAATGTGCTGCTTCTCTGAAGCATTTCAGACAGCAGCCTGGCTCCTGTGCTGTACAGGAGCTCCTCTGACATGCTGGTTTGCATGCAGCCCACATACCAGCTCAAAATCTCATTTAACGAGGTGCTCCAGCTACTGGTTATTGTACCGAAAGTCTATATATAGTGATGGTGTCATCTCTGCCTTCCTCCATAAATCCCCCTAAACTTTCCCCACTTGAGAGCTGAGCTTTTGCAAACATCTTACATAGACATAAGGTGATAAGGTTCTGTCTGATCAATGCCTTCAACCTTCTCACAGCAGAAAAGGGAATTCAGAGTTTATTTCCTCTGTATGTTGGTGCACTGTGGACAACAGACTTTTGTGCGTGTTATATGGTGAGAGGGATTGCTTATATTTTATACCTGTGCAGAAATCTCTGACATCTTTATTCAGTCTGTATCTTACTGCACCTGCTCTCTTTTCAATTTACTGGGAACAATTTATATTGAGATATATGAAGATGCTCCAGTATCAACATGACACAATAGAATGAGGGATTCTGATGGCTTTTACCAAACCTATGCATAACAACTGTGAAATAATAGCAGCGAGGACAATAAAGCAAGGATTGAATGCTATTCTCCTGGTGATGAGTACCAAGGATTTGCCTAAATAAATATGAGCCTCCCCTCTCCAGGGAAAAGCAATGAGTGCCCCATAAGGATGCCCTTCTGCAGGTACAGCAAACTTGCAGATAAGCATAATGGTATTCCCTGCAGTGTGTGCTGATGGGAACAGGCTGCATCTGTGCTGGGAGAGGAGGCAGCAGTTCTCCCAGGATGGGAATGTAGGTGTGTGCTGGGTATGGCATCTTAATTGCTTAATCTTGGGCATAAAAAATGATGCTGGACTCAAAGATCAAGGTTGTGAAAGGGCTGTGGACAGGTAACCAGTGTTAACTGATTCAGTCTGAGCAATGCAAGGACTCTGATTTAGGAGTAACTACAGAAGCAACACGTTTTTGTGTCAAAGATGTGCAGATGGGATGCTCAGGGACATGATTTACTGGTGGACCTGGAGTTGAGTTAATGGTTGGACTCTATGTTCTTAGAGTTCTTTTCCAACCTTAATGATTCCTAATTAACAAATTCATTTGTGTTGGTCAGAACTTTAGGATGAAAACCACAGTAACTTCAATTACCAAAGCCCTCACTAAAAATCTGCATCAGTCTAGGAGAGACAAAAACCAGCAAATGTGATCCTCTTCTTATGGTGTTTATTTTTGTAGATGCTTATTTAGTCCAAGCTATCTGCTACTGGTCACTGTCAATGGCATGAGATGGAGTCTAGCCAAGGCAGTGAAGTTATTTCTGTGTTGTGCTGCAGAAAGTCTGTAACTTCCTCTTTGAAGTTTGCTCAACTTTCAAGAGCACAGATTTTTCTGATTTTTTCTTTTTTCCAGTTACCCCAGAGTTTGAGTTTAAATGAAAGGCATCAACTTATTCATGCAGCAGGTCTTTGTTTATGTTTTTAAGCTTTACCATTGGCCTGGCAATGGCATAAAACACAATCAGATTGTGTTTGTGCAGCGATTATTCTTGCCCTGTGTAATTACTGGTCCCTCAGATAAAATCTCCAGCTACTTTATTGAAGCTGGGAATTGAAACCACAGAGAGAATCAGCTATCTATGTACATCAATAAAGCAGTCCATTAATTATTTCCACCTACTCGACTTGAAGAAAATTATCATACTAATGCCTCTGGATAACCACATGACCTGCTCTGCTTCTACATAAAAGCCAAACGTAGAGCCATAAAGGCTTTGAGAGATAAATCAGGGACACCAAAGAAATGGCAGAGGATAGAATGGCATTCATCTCAGTAATTGGTCACAGAAACCTCCACACTGCAGTAATATTAGACAGTATCACAATGGTTTCAAATTTGAGAACTGGAAGTATTCTGAGTTCTTTTTGAGAAGCAAAGAGTTGATAGATGAAATATATCTTCAAGAGTAAGACAGCATTGCCATTATTCAAGAGATAGTAAAAAATTTCCATCAATAAATCTTGAAACGTGTAAAAAAAATGAAATTG